AAACAAACAGTGGTTTGGCAAAGTGACAGTTTAAGTGTTGAGCTCACTGGACGTTTTTGAAACGAATTTCAGGGCATGTCTTATGGGAGGGACAGAGCAAGGCCAGTGCCAGGGAAGAGAAGGGAACCACCAAGGAACCCAACAGGGCAGATGCAGGAGTCCAAAGCCAGACGTCTAGCTCCCAAGTCTGGAAGGCCCCTGAGATGGCAGGTGAGGCAGGTGAACAGTCTCAGTGGGGCCTGGCCTCCCAGAGCCAATTGTGAGAGGACACCAGTCCCCTAAGCTCAAAATGAGCTCCGCCGATGAGCCTTGGAGCCTCAGAGGGAGGCCTCACAGCCAGGAAAACACCCTGGAGGAAACCTGAGCCCAGCTGACTCCGCGCCACATGCCCTGCTCCAGTTCCACCAAGGTAACCCATCCCGGTGGAGCCCACATGCAGCACTTTCCCTGCAGGCCCAGTGAACATCTGCTGGGTGAACACCTTGGGCATGGAGCTTGGGACCATAGTTTGTCCCTGTTTTCTGCACATCTGGCTTGAGGGAGCGGGTTCACCAACAAGAGACCAACATTCACTGTGACTAAAATGCTGATTCACTGGCAAACTCCTGGCCTCTTCTCGGCCTGGACTAGACACCAGGCTCTGGGCTGGGCTGGGCTGTCCGATTCCACACATCTCAGGACTACCGGTTTCCCCTTCCAGCTCCTGCAGTTCTTGGGAGGATCAGCTTGGCTCCCTCCTCTCTGTGACCCTCACCCTGCTCCACAGCAATCCCCAGTGTAGACCAGGCTCCCCACTCCCTAGCTTAGCTCCCTGGTGGGCACCGGGGCTGCTGAGTGGACCTCAGGTGTGCAGTGTCCCTCTGGGGTCTCCAAGCCTCGTGTCCCCTCAGACCCGCCTCAGACCCGCCCACCTTGCTCAAGTCTCTGATGCTGGGTCACTCCCCCTCCTCTTGCTCCACCCCACCCTCCCCATCAGCCCAGAAATACACCGTCCCCTCTGGTGTTCAAAAAAAACACCCTACCTCCACAACCCCACCCCCTTACTGCCCTTTATCCCCCACAGACTTATACTAAGAGTCTCACTGTGTGAGTACGTCGCCTCCGCGGGCTCACGGAATATGCGTGAGCTCTCCAGGACCCGTCCTCGGCATCCTGGCATCCAAGCCAAGGCCACATCTTCTTCAGCTTCCCCAGAGACTGAATGCCTCTCTGGAAGGCAACCTACCCTTCAGTGTCCAGGTCACGCCTCTTCCTGGATCTCCTCCCATCTTCCTGAAACCCATTTCTCATCTCTCTCCTCCCACCCTCCAGGGGACCAGTCCTTGCATCTCTTCTCTCTGCAACAGCTTCCTTGGTGATCTCACCACCTCACCCTCATCTTTATCCAGAAAAATCTCATTTCTGGATTCCCCAGAACTGACTGTCCTCCTAAGCTAACTCTCTCTGCCCAGATGTCCCCCAGCACCCAAAATTCATCAGGACCCCAGATGAACTTTTAAAATCAGGTCTTTTATGATCCTGGTCTTTTTTTTTTTTTTCTGGCAAGATCATGCCTGCCATGATCTACCCTAAAACCTCAAGGGCTCCTCCCAGTTCGCCAAGCTGAGGAGTCCCATAGACTCTACCCAGCACTTGTGGGTCCTGCCCTCCTCCATCCATCTCCCTCACCTGAGTTCACACCCTTCTATGTCTCTGCTCATTCTGTCCCTCCCTAGGAACAACTGCCAGATGGACAGATTTTCCCAAAGCCCTCCAAGGTCAAACACAGAGAAAAGCCCCTCCTCACTCAATACTCCACGCCCCTCACACTTGGGCCCCAACCTCGCCTTCCAAAGAGACCCCTGACCTCACCTCACTCTGCCTGCCCTGGTCTTCCCTGACTGCACAAGTTTGTCCATCCCCCTCCCTTATGTGGCATCCTTTTTCTCCCGGTTTTCCATGTCTGAATCCTACTTTCTTCAAGGCCCATCTCAAACAGACCTTCATCTGTAAAACATTTCCTGATCCACCCAGTTACAAATAATCTCCCTGCTTACTTCCGACTCACCTCACTTTACCTGTCCCTCTCTTAGGACACCTGCGTGTCTTATTTGCATATGGAGGGCCACAAGGTGGAAGATGCCTTACCTCCCCGACCTGGACTATACACATGCTGAGGACAAGATGCCTGTCTGAGTTCCCTCAGCACCATACCTATGAAGTAGCAGGTCCACAATAAACCTGGGATGAATTAATGAATGATGAAGTGTGGCAAGGTGTTTGAATGAAAAGGCTTTGCACACTCAAGCAATACTTAAAGGTAAGGGGTTGTGAGCCTGGATTTGGGTTGGATTTAGAGTAGGAGAGGTGCTAAGCCCTGTATCTCACAGTAGCAGGCCCCCCCCCATCCCCAGCCGCCACCCTCCTTCCAGGCCGAGAGGCATGTCCTCCGCCCCTCAGGCAGATCGAACGGAGGAACAGACATCTTCCTTCTCCTGGTCCATAGGAATCAGGCTCCTTCCCAGCCTACCACACCTATGTGAGCACAAAGGGTCAGGTGGATGCGACTGGCCTTGCCTGGACCTCCTTTAGCGGGTGGGGTGAGCAGCCGGGAATTCCAGCTCTGGCCCTGGAAATAGCTGTTTGAGTTTCACTGTCACAGCCAGATGGGAGGCTAACCCAGCACTTCCTAAACTGTGGTTCCACAGGCCACGAAGCCAGGTGCCCACCAGGGGCTTCAATCCAAAGACATGTTTTCTCAGCACCCCCAACCCATCTCATGTGTTCTACAAGGAGTCAGTGGGTCAAGGGCTTCAGTCTTGCCCTGTATCCCAAGGGAAGCTGCTCACAGGCAGAGGGGCTGGGTGTTCAGGGAGGCCCATCAGAGAGTGCAGGCGGCCGAGGGGAGGACAGGAACTCCCAGGAGGGGTGAGACCAGCACTGGACTGGGTGTGCCTGCCACAGACCCGCTGTCTGACCTTGAACATGGCTCTCTTTCCTCTGGCTTCCGCTCCCTTACGTGGACAATGAGGAGACAGCAAGCTGTCTCTGGGCTGTTTTCCCCTGTCCTTGAGCCGGTCTGTCCTCAGGCCAGGTCCCTGAGACAAAGAGGAGGACCCTCCCCCACTACACCGTGGTCACAGAGGACTGGTCAGGGGAGACTGTGGGGCCCATCACCCTGGTCCAGAGGACCACAGGAGCAAGGTGGGCACAAAGGAAGGAAGGGCAGCTCCCTCGGGTCCCCCCAGGAAGCAGGAAGGGGGCAACAGAGAAGTCTGCCTGCCATCCAGCGATGGGCAAGTGACACAGGGCTGGAAATGAGGATTCGGCGGCAGGGTGGGAAGTTCAGGAGCAAAGCTGCTGCCTGTGGGCTCAGTGGCATTTACCGAGTAGCACAATTCTAGGGGAATATCAACCAGCAGGAAGGACTGTCATTATGGGGGTAGGGGGACATTACCCTTACGGCTGGAACCTCCCCCCTCAACGTGGTACAGGAAGAATTCATCTTTTGGAGTGTGCAGTCTGCAAAGGGAGAGGTGATAAAATCCACCCCAGCCATGAGCAGGTTGAGGAGGGAGAGAATCTCACCCACTGGTGGACCCTTCCCTGGAAGCCAGGCCAGGGGCACCGCGGAGTCCAGGAAGGAACGGGCCTGCGAAGAGAGGATCTCTGCACAAAGCACTCGCCTGCCTCCTTTCCCAAAGGCAAGATCCCCCAGTAAGGCCCGTGGAACTTTCCAGATGTCCAGCTCCCTTGCTGGGAGGAAAGATAAAGGATGTCCCTAAAAGGCTAAAAGCTCCTGGACTGCAGTGGAAGCAGAGCGAGGCGGCAGCTGGGGCTGGGCGGGGCGGGGGAGGGCTGTGAGGGGAGAGGGTGGCAGTGGCTCCTGGGCTCAGGATCCAATTACACGGCTGTTTCCATACTTAGCCACCTGACAGCCGCTTGGAATCCTCGCCACCCCGGCCACTGCAGCCCCGTGGAGCCCAAATTAACTCAAGGGCAGACAAGGGCAGGGCCCAGCGGCACATGCGAGGCCGGAGCCCCCTGCTTTGGTCTCTAACCCTGGAGGGAACGGCTTCTGCTCTTGCCTGCCTGGGGCTCTTCTGTCTGGGTATGGGTCCTCAAGAAACGGAACCTCAAAGGTCCCATGATCCCCAATGCAAATGAAGCCTGCCATCCTGAAAAGACAAAGCAGGACTCCCAGATTCCTTGGGTGGGTGGGGGGGGGTCCTCAGAGCACCCCTGGAGCATCCCTAAGGGGAAATCAGCCCTAGGAATCTCAGGAACAGAGGTGGAAAAATGCTCTGGTACTCCCTCTGTGCCTATAAATAACTGCCATGCTGTAACCGGAGCCACCGCCTCTGCCACACAAAGTGCTGAGATGTCAAAGGAAAACCATGGCATGCAGGCCCCAGCCCCCTTCTAGTGAAGCCCCCAGCCCAGCCGGCTCCACTCCAGAATGACTCCTGTTCCTCCTCTGAAACATATCTGTTTCAGTTACTAGCCCAATTCCCAACTCTTATCTCCAACCCCATCCCAAACTGACCCCCATTCTATCCCACTGTTCCCAAGCCATGCCCCCACCCTCGTCCTCAGTCATGCAAAGCCAGGCCCCCGCCTGATCTCCACCATGTAGGAGGGTCAACTCATCGACCTCCAGGGGCCCCCTCCATCTCCAAGATCAGGGTCTTCTGTCCATCTAGGAGGCTCCAGTCTTGGCTTTTGGGGTTCTCTTCTCCCACATCTACTGGCCAGCCCTTCTCTCCAGCCCCTGGCCCCTTGCTCAGGCCTCGCACATGCCTGCACCTCTTGGTTCACTGCTTCCACTCCCTCTGGCCCCCTCACAAGCTCCTGACCATTCTCAGGTCTCTGCACCCCGCACTTTCTAGGCGAGACCAGCCAGGAGCAAAGGGCTTCCATCAGCCCCAGGAATCATGGAGGCCTTATGCTCCATCTGCCGCCCAAGCCCCCCACCCCTTGGGGGTGCATGGGGTCTCGGACGACAGGCATGGGGGTCATACCTGCTTGTCCTGGGAGCAGGAGCGAGGCCATGAAGCAGCACAGCAGGACCAGCGCCCTCATGGTGACTGCCAAGAGAGCCCAGCTGCTCCTCGCCTCTATTTATAGGGCAGGTGGCAGCGCGGGGCGGGAGAGAAGGGTCACACAGTCACTGGGGCAACTGGGAGGACGTGATGGGGAAGCCGGGCAGACCCCGCAAGGCGC